ATTTGATATATATATAACGTTGAAATATTATCTGCAATAGACAAGTTACAGTGTATAACCATGTTTGATATGTTAACTGCGACGGGGATCACAGTTTGAATTGGCGATGGTAATAATACCAAATTTTAGATATTCACATTTGTTTTGAATTATATATATATTAATTATTAAAATATAAATATATTAATATATAAAAATAATAATAATAAATATATAATATATAAATATATTAATTATTAAAATTTGGTATTATTACCATCGCCAATTCAAACTGTGATCCCCGTCGCAGTTAACATATCAAACATGGTTATACACTGTAACTTGTCTATTGCAGATAATATTTCAACGTTATATATATATCAAATAAAAGAAAATTCATCGTGGCGCCACGGGCAATTTCTGTAAAATCGGCGTGGCATTCAACGTGTTAATTAAGCGTAATTATCAGTTTCTCCTGATTCGTTGTATCGTCTGAACGGTTCATGACGATCGCTTCAACGAACGATCGTGTGTCGTCGAAGTGCCAATATTTACAAACGCGGTCGTAGGTCGACCGCGAACAGTGTGTGTCGACTCGCTGTCAGTGTGTATTCGATTGTGACGCCGAGCGGAGTCTTTTCGCCGCGAAGAATAGACGCGCGAAGTTTTTCGGAAGGAGGAAGGGGGACGGCAGTCCCACCGCGGTATATCCGCAAAAAGTTCATCGGCCGATCAGTGGTAACTACGAAACGAATTTTTCGACGATTTTTTGGTAACTTGTGGAGCGTCGAGTTCGGAGGAATGAACACCTATTGCTTCTTCTTTTACGTGTATTTGGATGATGAAATGACTACGTACGCTGGTGGAGAAAATGATGAGGAATCTCGAGATTTTTGGGTATGAACATTTGTTTGTACATTTGAAAAATTTGTACATTTCTTCGTACATTTGGAAAATGAATACACAGCAAAATAAGGTAGTAGTCCTTGACGTAATGTATGGAGAAATTAAATAAAGCGTTCGATTCATTTGTTATTTATACGAAGAAGAGATGCAATTTTGTGTGGTCGAAATGATAAGGCGCTTTGAATATGAAATAACAAAAGTATTGAAATTAAATAAAATTACATAGCTTGTTCAAGTTTTAATAATGTGTGGACGGTCCTTTACGTTGTACCTCTTCGATCATTCTGTTTGGTTATATTTTGTACAGATTCTTTATATTTTTCATCCAAGCTTTCCCGAGCCTCTAAAATTGCAGATTTTAATTATATTACTTTATATATCATTATTATGTATTATACTATATATGATTATTATACAAAAGTTACTTCAAATGATCTCAGCTACCCCTCATTTTCGGCTGTTAAAATAATTGCGGAACACACTGTATATTATACTATATATATTATATAATTATTATAACTATATATACTTATTATATATTATACTATACATATTATTATTATATATTATTACATATTATACTATATATATTATTATATATTATGCTATATGTATTATATATTATTGTATATATCGTTTTCCACCTTCATATAACGTTCGGCTGAGACTTCCCCAAACATTCTCGATAATGCATATAGTAAGTAAAAAATTATTTTGAAGCGAAAAATATAAAGGTTTTAAACTGGTCAGCAAGATTTCCTGATCTGAGCATTATCGAGAACGTTTTAGGAAATCTCAGCCGAACATTATATGAAGGTATAAAGCGGTATATATAATAATAATAATATATATGGTAATAATATAATAATATATAATAATATGTATATAGTAATATATAATAATAATATATAAAGTAATATATAATAATAATATATAAAGTAATATAATTAAAATCTGCAATTTTAAAAGCTTGGAAAAGCTAGGATCAGAAATATAAAGGATTTGTATAGAAGTTAACCAAAAATAGTGATTGAAATGGTACAACGTAAAGGACCGTCCACAAATTACTAATACTTAAACAAACAATGTAATTTCATTTCATTTGAATGTTTTTGTTATTTCATATTCAAAGTGCCTTATCGTTTTCTCCACACAAAATTTCATATTTTTGTTGTATAAATAACAAATGGATCGAACGATTTACTTTATTTTATTGTGTATCAATTTTCCACGTATATGTGCAAATAGATGTTCATACCCAAAAAATCTCGAGGTGCCTTATGATTTTGCCCAGCAGTCTACGAAAACGTCCAAATTTATTTAATTCCGCTCTGTTGCAATTGTCTTGAGAAACTGCAGTTACACCTTTATTCTTCACGAGACTAATCATTAACTATCTATATAAATTATCATTAAATTCTGGAACGATAGAACAAACGTTGGAAACAACCGTTCCATTTTTTTTCTTTTTTTCCATTAGTGACCCGATGTTCGGCAAGCAATTTTCCACTCGAATCGATCTATCTGATAATTTCCCTACCATGAATTATCAATAAAACAGACGATGGTAATCGCGAATCGAGTCACTTTACGGCGCCAGACGAAATAGGATTCCTCGGGGAGCGTAAAAAGTCGTGACCGCGATGCTCGTTAGCGCGCGAATAACATCAACGTTCGACGAACAAAGGACGCCCTGTTACGCAATCCGTCACCGACATTGGTGATAATCATCGAATTACCTGCGAAGCGCAATCGACTATAGTTTCGCGTGATTCCCGCCGCGAGATCCGAGTACGCTGTTCCGAGCTTCCCCGTTGATTAGTCGTTTTCCGCGACCGGATCGGGGAGAACGTCGCTCTGAACAACTTCGGTGCGAACTCAAACATAGACTGAAACGTTTAAATTCGAAAACGTTGCCTCGTCTCGAATCGGCCACGGGAGGCTGACGATTTAAATCGGTCCGAGCGCATCGTGGTCAGAACTGATCCCATTCGACGGCGTTCCGAGCTAGCTCGCCGTCGCGTCGACGTCTTAATCGCGGCGTAAGGAGTTCTCGTATTCTCGTGAGTGGTTCTCACGTAGCCAAGCCTGGCCTTTTAAATCCGTCTGCGCGCATCGGAGACATAGGCTAATTCTACCAGACGGCGGTGCGTCAAGCTAGCTCGCCCCGACGTCGACGCGTCGATCGCGACGCAAGCGGTCGTGTCGGATCCTCTTGATCGATGTTCCGATCGATGATATCAACGTTCGGATCGTCGATTGCCCGGAGTTCTCCGAACAGCTGACTCCCGGAACCGGTGTATCGAAAGATGATAAGATCGCGCCACGTATCGCGCGATAAACGATCGAGAAAAAAGCGTGCGAATCAGGGCTGCTCGAGATACTTCGGAATCGCTGACTCTAATCTTTGGATCTGCGCATTTGCGAGCATCTCGCAGCGAGACGGACCGAAGCGGACCGTCCATCGTCGCAAGGTAAATTGCACGAAGCTCGAGTAAGCTCCCGATCACGTTCGATCCCATCGAAACCGCTAGGTCGAAAGTGTGCACGCGGCTTTAGCCGACGACCAAGCCCAGTCTCTCGTCTGGTTCATCGACCAGCGCGAACGACGTTTCCAGTGCGTGTATCCTCGTGTCAGGCGGCACGGTGGCGGCTTAAGGCGCTAAAATAGAGACCGTGGACCGTCGGTGCAGCGTAGACCGTGCCGGCAGAAACGCTGCGCATTTAGTCTTTAACTGGAGGGATCCGCGAGCGGAGCACGGTCGGGCGAATCCGCGTCGAGATAGAGTTGGTCGTCGCGTCGGGCGGTCGCCAGTGCCAGCTTAGAGATCCGGCCGGGTCGTCTCTCGTTTGGCCGAGGATGTGAAACGTTGGAGGATGCAACAAGTGCGTCGCGACGTTCCGCAGGCCTGCCCGTGACGCAGACGCCGCAGACGAAGAGCGGCGGCCGCGGTCGAGTCGATCCGTTTGACGGTGCCGATCGGCGCGATAAATTGACGGCTCGCGGCGTAATTGTCTCGGGTTCCACGCCCACGGGACGATTCGTCGCGAGGAGGACAGAGGACGGAAGAAAGGGGCGGCGGGCCCGACGATGAAAGCGTTCCCGGGCCCGGAGTCCTCCGCCAGTTGATTAAAGATCGACCGATGCGGTCCCCGACGACGAGCCGCCACGACTGCGATTCCCCGTGACGATTCGATCCGATCCGATCCGATTCCGTTTTATCGTCCGCCGATCGAGGATCCACCCTCTGGCTCTGTAAGCGTTCTTCTCGCGCTCGCTCGAACAGCTCGTTCGTTCTTTCTCTCTCTATCTTTCTCTCTCCGTGTCTCTCCTTCTCCCCTGTTCGTCGAATCATTTTTCCGTCGCTGTTTGTTTCTTGTCTCAAGCATTGTCTTGCGCTTCGATGTTACAGTTGGATGCGTCGGGAACGAACCGACGCGCGCCAGAAAGAGCAACGGTGGTGGTAGAGCGTTTCGCGACCTGGCCAGCGGATTAATAAGGGAGAGAGAAGGTTTTTCCCCCCGGGACCGCGAAGGAATGGAAGCCGAAAAGCTCGAACATCGACTGAGTAGTCACGTGGAAGACCCGATCGTCCGGATGTTCGGTAGAACGGTCCCCCGATTGTTCGGCCAATGTTTTTTCGTTTGCGTTCGATTCTGCGCGGACAAAATGCCGAAGAGAGTGTCCCTCGGCGGCCTGGGAGTCCTGGCCGCGCTGATGGTCTTCGTTCTGCCGCGAACGATCACTTACATTCTACTCTATCCGATTTTCAGATTAGTTTTGGGCAATCTGTACCCGGCCTATGCGTCCTACAAGGCGGTCCGAACGAAGAATGTCAAGGAATACGTGAGTATGCGACGCCTGCGCCGACATTCCGGATATTATCGTCATTGTACAGGATGTCCCGAAAATGTCTCGCAATTCGGAAATGACGCGTTCCTCGGATCATTCGAAGCAACTTCTTCCTTTGCAAAAATTTTCTCCGAGGCACCGTTAACGAGTTATGAACGAAAACACAGTGACCAATAAGAATCGAGCACGGCTGACGCGAGGCGGCCCAGCCAACCAGCGCACGAAGCCCAGTTCCGCTCATTGGCTCGGTCGCCACGCGCCAGCTGAGCTCGTCTCTCATTGGTCACTGTTTTTCGTTGATAACTGGATAACGGTGCCTCGGAGAAAATTTTTGTAAAGGAAGAAGTTGCTTCAAATGACCCGAGGAACCCGCCACTTTCGGATTGCGAGACATTTTTGGGACATCCTGTATATTATAACCAGCAGCGAACGCCGGTCCCCCAGCTGTTTCCATTTCGTTGCGATTACGTCTCGCGCGCGTTTTTGTCCGCCGTCCGCTTTCGGAAGAATCGTTCGCAGAGGTTGCGTAACGTAACTGTTGCAAGCTGCATCGGTTTTCGGTATCGGAAGCATCGGAGAATCGCGAATTCTTTCGCCGGACCGCGGATATTCGACTCGGAATTCGAGGTACGGTAATGTCTCTCTAATTGACGCTCAGATTGTCCACAAAAACGGACAATTTAGGAAGAGGAGACACGATTGTTCGATCCTTGCGATTCGTTTTCATAGTTACGAATTGTCGACAACTATAAAAAACGAAGCTACAAAGCTCAAACAATTGTATCTCCTCTTCCCAAATTGTCCATTGTCTGCACAATCTGAGCGTCAGTTAGGGAGACATTACTGTACAGCGATTTCTTCCTAATTCGCGCTCGGATTGCGCACGAAAATGGACGATTTCGGAAGCGGAGACGAACCTTGCGGCTCGTTTTTATTGTTTCCACAACAATTGAGCCGTTTATTTTGAAAGTGACATAAGTCACTTTTTCAAAAAAATCGAGTTAATGGTAACACTAATTACAATTGAACGATATATTTTCATTTAAAAAAAAAAAAGTGACTTATGCCACTTTCAAAATAAACGGCTCAATTATAAAATCTAGACGCAAGGCTAATCGTATCTGCTCCGCGGAAAATTGTCCATTTCTGCGCGCAATCTCAGCGCGCGAATCCGAGAAAAATCGCCGTATCAACGCGTCGAAGACGATTAAACGGTTCCAAGTGCTTCGGGCGCGGCCGCGGACCGGCGTGATAACAGCTACCGCGAGCTTACGAAGGCCTCGATCATAATCGACGGCTCCAGCACGTTCCGAGAATGAGCGAGAGCTCGAGCCAGCCTTTCGATAGCATCTCGGTCGCGGCGATTCCTCGTTGTGAACTCCGTTGTTCTCGGGGTCTATCGAATATTAAGCAACCGCGAGCGAAATTGTCTCCGAGGATCGATGCCCGGTGATAACGGGGCGGCGCGGTAAAAAAAAAAGCGGGTCAGGCGAATTCTGCCGTCTCGAGCGCGACTTAAAAATTCTCGCGGGCTCGTTGAACCGGCGAGCAGAATATCGGCTGCAGCTCGGTGCGCCGTGCGATTCGTTTCCACATCCGATGTTTATCCGTTCCCGTCTCTCGGCAATATTTCGCGTGCACGCGCGAAACCGTGGATTAATTCGCGTTCTCCGCGCGCAGGACGGCGCGCGATGGCGTAATCGCGGCGCCGAGAGGTCTATTCGCCTGTATCCGAGCCCGTCCCGGTCTCCTTTTCGACCATGAATGCGTCCTTATTGGTCGCGCTCGCTCGGCCGGTGCATTAGCTGTGTTTAAGCGGCACGTTCTTTCGTTTCCAGGTCAAATGGATGATGTACTGGATCGTGTTCGCGCTGTTCACGTGCGCGGAAACCTTCACCGACGTCTTCTTTAGCTTCTGGTGAGACATTTATAGTCCGCACGCTTTATTGCTCGCGTCCGATCGAGCGGATTCCGCCGGGGAAACCGCGTTCACGCGTCCTTTCGCGTCGCATCGTCGTCGCTGAGAACGGAGCCGAGCGATATTCGATTGAGAAAGGAATTACCATCGGCGATTTCACAGTCGGACGCGAATTAAGCGTCGCACGTCATCGTAGAGCCGAGCGGAACATGGCGGCGGTGCCTCGGCTAATTTCGAAAGCTCTTCGTGATCCGCGTCGACTCGGCTCGGCTGTTTCTCGAATAAAGGCGTCGTTTTCGGCCGGCGGCTGAAACCGCCGACGAAGGAGTCGCGAACACGCGAGACGGAACAAAGAGGAGTCGCGGTGAGCACGCGCGCGCCGGCTCGGTCACGGCCCCGTTTTTCGCCGGATGCGGGGAAAATTTCGGGCGAGCTCTCCTCCTCCGGGGCCAATAAACCGACGTGAACCGGCGCTTCGGGATCACGCGGCGAGTACGCGCCGCGAGAGCACGCGGCCCGCCACCGGGAATTCCGAAAGTCTAATTTCGGCCGAGATGGATATTGGCTTACATGCACTTCTGAGGGCTCCACCGAGCCCGTTCTTGCTTGCCTTCCGTCTCTGTTTCTAGTGTTTGCCTCCCCGCCGTGCCAGATCTCTCCCTTCATACTCGGATTACAGCCGAAAAGGAGAGGCCCCGTGTATTTCTGGTCGCCCATATACCCTCTCGTTTTCCGAGCCCCCATCTTCCCGCTCCTCCTCGTCCACCCCGCGATTTTTCCCTTTGCCCGTCCTTCTTTTCTTTTTTTTTTCATTGCTCGATGACTCGCGGATGCGTCACGCCTGACCGGCGATCTCATCGACGACTCTCTCTCTCTCTCTCTCTCTCTCTCTCTCTCTCTCTCTCTCTCTCTCTCTCTCTCTCTTTCTCTCTCTCTCTCTCTCTCTGTGGTTCGGTGCACAGGTACTCGCGGAACTTTGCACTGCGACGGGGACACTTGAGATCGGTGCGATCTCGATATCGGTATCGCGTTAACGAGGCTGCTTCGAAATCGACGTAATACCGAAATCATCGTAATACCGAGATGGATGAATAACGAAACCGAAGGAAAAATGTGTATCGTATTGTTTTCGATTCGAAAATATAGTACAGACGTGTATATTAATCATTTCATCATCATCTATTAAGATGACGGATTTTTGTACAAGATAGAAATTATCTTAGACAATTGCAGTCAGAAGGAGTTAGTTAGAAATTTCTTTCTTTCTTTCGTTTAATATATTTCATTGTTTTAAATTTTTACTGCCGATTTTTGTCATAAATGTGTAAAATCCACGGTCTATATGTCACCTAACACTAAATTGGGTATATACATATTTTTTATTATATAAATGAGTCAATTTGACTCAAACGTCAAAATTGAAGGTTTTTCAAAAAAAGATAAAATTTTATTTTAAGGGAACTTTATTCGAAACAATTTTTAGAAATATATTATTTATTAATATATATTAATGTATATATATAATAGCAATATTATAGTAAGTTTTATTACTATTTATTTTTATATATTTAGTATTACCACTACTTACATATAGCAATAAAATCGTAATTGAGTAAAATTGACTCGCTCCGGCAATCTAGCGTTAACCTAGTAATTACTCCGACTTCGGCACGATAGCAACTGCGTTCTAACGTAATACCGGTAATAGGATAAATACTGGCACTAAATCTCTACTCGGAAACACCTCGAAAATTATAACGTAGTGGAGAAAACCGAAGAAATTGCCGATGAAAATACCGCTGCATTTCCTGACATTTTTATAAAACGTTCCGACAACCAACCAGTATTTTCGTGTTTCGGTTTCCGGTTCGTGTTCCGAAGGTATAAACGAAGAATCCACGTGTCATAGATTTCGATAAAAAAAAGAATCCCTGCTCTCGAGCCTGTTCCAACGAAGCATCCCGCGAAAGCGATCGCGACCGTTGGGACACGCTGTCGTCCGTAGCTCGACTTAGCAATAGAGCCTCCCAGAGGAGTGCCAATACAGAGATTGCATTTTCGCTGTGTCCGATCTAGGTTCCCCTTTTACTATGAAATTAAGACTATCCTGGTGATCTGGCTGCTGAGCCCGGCCACGAAGGGCTCCAGCATCCTCTATCGCCGCTTCGTTCACCCGGCTTTGATCCGCCGCGAAGCTGAGATCGACGAGACCCTGCAGCGCGTTACGGAGCAGGGTTACAGCGCCGTCCTGAACCTGGGCTCGAAGGGTGTCAACTATGCCACCACGGTGCTCATGCAGACCGCTATCAAGGTAAGTCGGCCAGCTGGGCCCAGATCGATTCGATCGACGCCAGCAACGATGGACGACGGTCGTGTTCGCGGCTAAAATGAAACGGAACGTCCCGAACGATCCTCTAAACCAGGGGTGTCGAACTCGAAAGCTAACTTGGGCCAAATAAACAATGCTTGACTTTAGGTGGGCCGCAAAAGAAAAATCAATGTTCATAGAAACAAATATTTTTATTTTGACTAGTACATTGTAATAAACATATATAGAGTTAAATTATTGTTTACGTCCTGATAGTTGACATCTCTTCTTCAATGCTATCTTTCCTATTTCGGAAGAAATTTTATTGGCCGAGACTGTTTCTATTTTATTCTAACTTTGCGTCGGATATATTGACTAGGCCGCAAAAAAAGTCAATGTTCATAGAAACAAATATTTTTATTTTGACTAGTACATTGTAATAAACATATATAAAGTTAAATTATTGTTTACGTCCTGATACTTGACATTTCTTCTCCGATACTATCTTTCCTATTTCGGGAGAAATTTTATTGGCCGAGACTGTTTCTATTTTATTCTAACTTTGCGTCGGATATATCGACTGGGCCGCAAAAATGTTCATCTCGGGCCGCGAGTTTGACACCCCTGCTCTATAAACGGCATTCGACGGAAGAACAAATTCCCGTCGCGGATTTCTCGCGCGAGAATTTCGGCCGGAGACGACCGGCGTCCACCGCTCGGCACCCTTAACCCGCTTCAGCAGCCACGCTTCGGAGAGCCTGCGGCTAATCTTCGACGTTTTTTCTCGGTTTTATGTTTTCGTTGTCCCGCACGCCTATCCTGCACGCCGCACCACCTCTAATCAAACAAATCACCATCAACGCCGATCACCGTCTCATCATGACACAACATCGTCCAACAAACTGACAAACCATCAACCGAACCCCTCCACCCATTTTAACAAAAAAAAAAAATTAAAAAACAAACATCGTTGTAACACCGTCGACGCTTTCAAACAAACCGTGTTCCGTTGTCTCTCTTCTCTCTCTCTCTTTCTCTCTCTCTGTGCGTGGTATACGTTTTTGTGTCTATGTTTGCCGCGGTGCCCGACCGATCTGCCATCTACGATCGACGACAAAATTGTACGAATCTTTATGTCAACCAACCACCAACCACCAACCACCGCCACCAACAACAACGACCGATAAATAATCTAATCGTGTCTCGACGCGGGGTCAGCTGATCGCAAAGGCAGACCCGAGCGTGCACTGTGTACTCCCCGGCAGCCAATCAGACTCGGCGATTTCTAGCTTAGCCAAGTATCCGTCAACGACGACTCCCAAGACGGAGCCCGGGACGGAAACGGACGGGACGACACCGTTCCCGGATCAGCGTCGCCTGAGCGCTAACTACGAGGACTTCGATCCCGCGAAGGAGGCGACCGTTCTCGTCGAGAAGTCGCAGGAGAGGTCCGTCAGCGACGAGGAGTACTTCAAGGTGCCGGCGACGAGGCGGCGGGGTCGCGCCGCCAAGAAGAACGTCGGAAGATCTGCCAGGAGGCTGAGGTCCAAAGGTCGCAGGGCCACCGTCGAGTACGCGATGTACAGCGACGACGAGCCCGACGCTACCAAGGACGCTATCTTCGTGGACCAGCACAGCGATTGAAGTTCGCAGCGGCAGGTTTCGAGGAGCAGGGTGTGCGCGTGTCCTTGGGGATCGTCGATCGTCTCTGACCTTTGAGTCGCCAGCTTGCCGATCCTCGTTTCAAGCTCTCTCGGCGCTTGAATTCTCGAGTGGATGTTTCAAGCTCGAACGAGGACTCGCGTCTCCTTCGAAATTTCTTGTCAACGATCGATTTTTACGTGTTACCATTTTATCGACGCCGTTTACATAGGATCTTGATCCGACCCAGCTCGCCGCCGGGCCCTCTTTTCAAAGGATCCTGCGGCTGCGAGTGCAGGGAGTCAGTTTCAGCAGCGAGTCCCGAGACAGTGATAGTCTCGGCCGGCGAGCTGGGTCGGCCTTAGGCGAACGTTTTCGAGCTGTGTGTTTGTCCGTCTGCGATTGTTATGCCTTGCTGTACCATGTAGGTTTTTTCACTCGGTTGTTAAGGTCTTCTCGCGCGTGACTCGCCGCGCGAGTCGTGATACGGGCTCGGTGATTCGGGTGACTCGGTGCCTTGGGCGACCCAAGGGTCGCCGCGTGATTGAATCCGGAGGTTGAATCTCTTGGAACGGTTGTTTGGCTCGCGCGTTTTGTTTTTCCTTTTCTTTTTTCTTTTCTCTCTTCAGAGCGACGCACTCGCGAGCGCGTTTCGCCACGTGATAGAATAATCGCCGAGAGTATATGACACGCGCGTTGAAGCTGATTTCTATACGGATCCGCGAGAATTTTGTAACGCGTTTTAGCGCGCCCCGATTCTGCGCGCGACTATACTCTTCGGTCACTCCGTCGAGCTGACGATTAGGATATAAGAGACCAATGTTTACATAATAAATCTTTAACCATGTTAGCCGGGGTGGTGTTCGTGGGAGCAAATTCGTTGCGGAAGCGTGACCGAGAGCGTTTTATGGGTGACAGAGCCGTGCGACAGTGTGCAAGACTGATGTGGAAATAATCGTCTGTTGATGTAAAAGTAATGCAGAACGCAAACGAAAGCCTGGTATTCGTTTATTATTTTTTCTCTCTCTCTCTCTCTCTCTCCATGTTCGTATACGTTCGACGTTTCCTTTCGCTTCCTCTTCGAGCTTCTGTGCCGGCGATTATTACTTCTCGTTACTGGTACGTCAACGACGGTTCTCGCGGAATCCCCCCTGCGACCCCGGGGCGATCGAATATCGGTGCGCACATTAGAGAGTAAGACTTTTTATACCCGATCCCAAAGATTTTACGCAACGATATATGTATATGTATATATATATATATATCTAGTATGTTTGATCGTTTCTTTTTTTTCACGAATAAACGCATTCTACTTGATTGACAAGAGAAAACAAAATACAAACAAACCAAAAGACTACTCTACACGGACGCGACGTGTGCTACACCCTCTACCCCCGGCTGGGAAAGAGTCGCGCGCGACCCTCGATCATTCGCTCGCTCGCTCGCTCGCTCGCTCGCTCGCTCGCTTGCTCGCGATCGATCGATCTATTTCCTCTCGCTCTCGCGGCCGGTCGAATCTATATACCCGTCGAACGAGTCGGGCCAGTCGATCAACAAGAGAACCCGCTTCTTCTGTCGCCTGGATCACGCGAGCACGCTTGCCGTTAACCCGTGCCGGAATGCAAGCCAGAAAAGAAACGCATCCGGATAGGCGACGGACTGAAAACACGGCCTAGATCGATCGCTTGAGACGCTAGACGGTGTCCCGTAGATCTGGTCACGGCGAGATAACACATATTAACACTTCACTATTTTTCCGGGTGTATTTTGGTAAGACCGATACCGTTTTTTTCTTTTACTTTTTACTATCGACTTTGCTCTACCTTTTCTTACACCCTTCACGTTTCGCTCTCAATCGGCCGATTGATTTCTTTTAGTCACGATCTCTCTAGATTACTTTCTTTCTTTCTTTCTTTCTCTCTTTCTTTCTTTCTTTCTTTCTTTCGCTCTCTCTTTCTTTCCTTCTTTCTTTCGTTCTTTGCACTGACGCTTTAACAATACTTAAAGAGCGCGCGGACATTCTGCCGGCCTCGCTGAAACAACCGAAAATTGGTCTTTCAGGGCGGCGGCGGACTGGTGCAGCATTTAAAGAAGAGCTACAGCCTGAGCGACCTGACCGGCGAGAAGGAGGACGAGAATAGAAACACGTCGCACTTGCACGACGAGACGGACATTGCAGGTTGCCCGCCGATTCTAGACCGCTTCTGTTCTCGCGAATTTCTCGCGCTATTTTTAGCGATACCTACACTGCCGGAAACGATACCGATAAGCCAGTACGGGGTGCGATAAGCCCTTCGTAGGGCCGCGAAACCAGGAAGAAGGAGCAACCTTTCGGTCGGACGTAGTCCTCGGTCCCTGGTTAAGTTCGTTTAGATCGATTCGTCGTTGAGCCTCGGAAGACCGGGGACTCTTGGGACTGCTCGGGCGACGATGTTTAGGTCCATTCATGATCGACGACTTTCCCGTACTCGTTTAGTCTCGATCGAACACTCGAGTCGATTACTCTGTCGCCCTGAGTAGCTGCGTTCGATGGATCCAACGTGGACCGCTTTGTCGATACCTTGTTGCGTTCGCCAGAAAGTCTCTCTACGATTGCGAAGTGGACGTTGCGTCACGGATTGTGGATCTTGTGATCTCGTGAGACTACGAAAACGATTACGTGACGATGCCGTGCGGTGTTAGTCGACTTCTTTATTCGCTAAGAAGCGAGGTAATGTCTCTCTAATTGACGCACAGATTGTGCAAAAAAATGGATAATTTTGGAAGAGGAGATACGATTGCTCGAGCCTTGCAGCTCGTTTTTTATGGTTATAGATTGTCAACGACTATAAAAACGAGTCGCAAGTCTCGAATAATGGTATATTCTCTTCCCAAATTGTTTATTTTTCTGCACAATTTCGGCGACAATTAGGGAGACATTACTGCACAGAAGCGAAGTACAGTAATGTCTCCCTTACTGACGCTCAGATCGTGCATAAAAATTGGACAATTTGGAAATATATTCGAGCGTTGCGGCTCGTTTTTCTAGTTGTTGACAAAATCGGCAATTATAAAAACGGACTGCAAGGCTCGAATAATCGTATCTTCTCTTCCCAAATTGTCTATTTTTCTGCACAATATCGGCGACAATTAGGGAGACATTACTGTACTTCGCTTTTGCACAGTAATGTCTCCCTTACTTACGCTCAGATTGTGCATAAAAAATAGACAATTTGAGAATATATTCGAGCGTTGCGGCTCGTTTTTCTAGTTGTTGACAAAATGGGCAATTATAAAAACGGGCTGCAAGACTCAAATAATCGTATCTCCTCTTCCCAAATTGTCTATTCTATTGTCTATTTAGTTCTCTATTTTCTGTTCGTCTAAATCCAGAATTGAAATCCAGAATCAAAATCCAGAATTAAAAAATAACAGTTATAGAACCGATATAATATTGGTTCTCAAGAATCGAAACTGAAGCTGAAACCGGTATAAATCAGAACTGATTAACCCTCAGTTTGGAAACAAAAATTGACAATTTGGAAAGAGAGCTTGCCGATTGTCAACAACTATAAAAACGAGGTGCAAGGCTCGAATAATCACATCTCCTCTTCCCAAATCGTCCATTTTCGTTTCCATGCTGAGGGTCAATTAGGGAGACATTACTGTACTTCGCTTCTGTAGAGTAATGTCTCCCTAATTGTCACGCAAATTATGCAGAAAAATAGACAATTTCGGAGGAGGAGATACGATTATTCCAGCCTCGCGATTCATTTTTATAATTGTCGACGATCGGCAGCTATAAAAACTAACTGCAAGCCTCGAATAATCGTGCCTCCTCTCCCCAAACTATCCATTTTCGTGCGCAATCCGAGCGTCAATTGGGGAGACATTGCTTCTTCAGCCTGTCCCGCAACTTTCGCGAGAACTCTGAGGAGACTCTCTGGCCGGCGCCATGGAAGAACTGGTGCCATAAGTTCGGCAGTCGAACCGACGGCGAAACCAGTGTTCGCATTGACAATCTGCTATTAATTACAGTGGAACCTCGTCGAAGAGAGCACGTCGGGAGAAGAGGTTACAGTCCTCGCCGGACACAGTCGAGTAGCAACCGCGTAGAGATGTACTTCTCTGAAGTGGACCTGTACAAGTGCATAAACGTCAAAGAACCGACGGCCAGGGAGCCGACAACCAGCTTAACGTGGGTATCCCGCTGAATCCGTCGCGACTTTCGCTTCGCGAGCCGGTCGACGGATATCGAGCACCGCGAAATCTTAACCTTGCATTCTGTGCTTCAGCAACATAAGATCCTCGGACGATATATCCAGCGGATACAGCAGCGGAGAAGCCCTGCAGTCGACCCGTTCGTCCCAGGGCGACTCGTTGGTGCGAACATCGAGCGTCGGAGCAAGGACACGCGCAAAACCTCGCTCGACCACGAAGAAGGCGCAAGAGGTATTCGATCGCGGTGAGACCGTCGACGCGGACCAAGGCTGAATCGAGAAGAACGATCGCGTTGAAGTTCGTTGGAAAGCGTCGTGTGAACCGGCTCAGCCTTGGTCGATCGTCTTTCGGTCGTCAACATCGAGACTTCGCGGTCCTTCCACGAGTTCCGTTCCGTCGTAATCAGATAATTTTTGGTATTTGAAGGAGGCCGGCGAGGATTCCGACAGCAACGATCTCCCTCCCTCCATAAACATCTCACTTCCGACACCTTTGAGTCACGTGACCCCCGAGCAAGCTCTCGAGATCTTGCTCATGCTGTCGCAAAACAGTAATGTCGCCGACTATGTCAGGCTCGATCCTGGATCCTCTGTCGCAGGTAACGACGGCCCGATCGAAAACACCAGTCAATTAGGCTCGGAACCGACGGCGATCGATACAGAGTCGACGGAGCCTCGCCCGGAATCCTCGAGCTCTGTTTCGACCGCCGAGGTTCAGGTCATTCATAGTATAGAGACGGAGATCGTCCCAGAAGTCGCAGCGGCGACGGAAGCAACGAAAGACGAGAAGACGCCGCCGCGTGACCAAGCGGTCAAAGTTGAAGCATCCCCGCACGACCAACCAGTCAAACTGGAAGAGACGACGCCTGAGACAGCCCCGGAAGCCCCTGCGAACGATCCGACGCGATCCGGCGTTCCCGAAGAGGCCGGAGAAGCAACGGACCGCACGGCAGCCGACGAGCTCTGCCAGACGAAGTTCGACGAGCTGAAGCAGCTGTTGAGCGAGGCTCACAAGGCTGTCAACAACATTGTTTGCACGCAGGAGAAACGGAAAGGTAGTAACGCTAGCATCGCTGATTCGTTGCCCCAACCGGTGGAGAACGTAGATACTAACGAAAGCTCGGAGAGGAATGATCCCGGGGACGCGAAAGACACTGAGACAAAAGAGACCGAGGAGCCGGACGAAGTCGCCGACGCGAGAACGGAGGGGAACGAGAACGCGGCGCAGCGGGGCAGCTCGGAGAACCTGAGCCGAGCCGGCAAGTACCGGAAGAAGCCTGCGCCCAGGGCTCCTCTGACCCAGAGCGAGGAGGATCTGGACGAGGCCGACTCTCAGAACGCGTTGAAGGCCACGCTGGTGATCAAGACCGGCACCGTGAAGACGTTCTCGACGACCGATCGGACGAAGGACGTCTTCGTCGCTCGCGCCGCCGAGAAATCGAAGGGGAAGAAGTCGAAGAGACAGAGGACCAAAGAAGGCTTCTCGAAGCTGCTGACGATCCCGAAGAACATCTTCCACAGCGCCTTCCACAGGGAGCACAGAGGCTCGTTGAGGTCCGAGGACTCCGGCTCGGACGTCAGCGCGACAGAGTCGCGGTCGCTGAGCATCGAGCCGCAGGAAACGATCATAGAACTCTCGCCGAAGATGTCGATCTCTAGTCAGGACACTAACACCGACGACAAGAGCGAGAACGACACCTCGAACAGCTCGGACGCTTACGTCCTAGCGGACGCGGCCACGGCCGAGGCGAAAGAGAGGCCAGAGGCGACGGCTCAGGGCATCAGAGAGATGTCCCAGTCGCCGCGGGCCGGCAAGAAACTCGAGTCAGACATCTTCTGAGACATCGTCTGGCCCGATTGATACCAGACGTGGTGAAATGTAAATGATCATCAGAATTAGACACGGGTCTCGTTGACTGGTTTTTTTTGTTGACGGCATACTAAACCGAAGCCCCTGTAGCCTACACCCCCCGCCCCCAATCATCCCCCTCATTGTTTAAAACACTGGCAAGTCTGGCAGAAGAAACGGATTAACACGTTCAGATCGTATGAAAATGGTTTCTAGAGTGGTTTTCTTAACTTTTCTTAGTCACTAATTATCTAGCGAGTGGCCCGGGATTGTGCATGTTAGTTTGGTCGACTAATCGAGAGATGGTAATCATTAAGATAACGATTAACCGTTGCTTCCGAGAGGATTAATGACGTTGAACGTGACGAGTAACGGTATAGTTTCTTTTCTTTGCTTCGCGGAGACGTGGGCCGGAGACGTTAAAGAGTCCGCGGGACCAGGTTTTATTTGAAGGATTGTTGCCCGGAGCGATCGTTGCCCGGTACGAGGGTGTATCGTTTGAGACGCGCCGTTTGCTTGCAGATAACCAGCTTCGCTACCCTACCCCGCAGCAAGAAGACAAGTAAGAAGAAGGTTGCATGAAACTTGGGGACGGCTGCTGATCGCATCAAGGAATAAAGACCAACCCACGTTTCTGTCGACCAACAACCTGATTGAAGGCATCAGCAGCGGGCGTCGTTGGGCCACACGGGACGCGTCACACGCATGATAACATTGTGTCTTACGATTAGCACTAGGCGCCACCTCGGTTCGTTTGTACATAGTTCTATGGCCCCGGGCGGGGACAAACGAAAGAAAAAGAAAAACGCTCATCGGTTCTGTTGTTCCAAGCATCCGGCTAGGCTAGTCGCAAAAGGGGGACACGCCGATCGATCCCCGATCGGCGGGGAACACCGTTGCTCACGGTCATCCAGAAATTACAAAGCGAATGTTAGATTCGTCGGACGCCCGCGATCGCGCGGTCCCCGAGGGCCCGGGGACAGTTTTTTACACGTGACTGATGACACCAGCTGTGCTTGCCGCGCCCTAGATCAGTGTCGCTTTTACGATCATGCAGTTGTCCATCCATGGATCGCGCGGACCTCCATTTCCTAAGCTTTTTATCTAAGCCCGTAGCTCTCTGGTACTTTGTAAGAGGAGCCGAGATCGAACGACGGGAGGCAAAAACGAATTCTAGTCAGCCTAAACGCGACTCGGACCAACCCCTCGTGAACCAGTGCCACTCGACTTTCTAGAATTTCTGTACGCGACCGTAGCTGAAATAGGCCATTCTCGCTCGGCGACGAATCCGTGATCAGCCGGGAACGACGACGAGTGTTTCAAGGTGGATCGATGATGCTTGAGACCGCGTCGCGCCCGTGCCTGCCGCAATCGATCGTACGATATCGAGACATCCCTGTTACTTTCTCTCATGGAGATTAGCGCCGATGCGTGTGTTCGTCGAAAACGTAGATCGTCCTAGCAGCCCGTGATTTAACAGCGCGGCTTCAATAATCGCGTAGCGACTATTCGCTTCTGTGCGCTTTCATTCGAGAGTCTGAATTTTGATACGAAGGAGATCCGCACCGATTTCCGCGCCGAGGTAGACGAGAGCTCGAGACTAGACCTCGTTTCGATAGGGGACAGCGTCGCCTCCGGACCCGTGGATCGTTTTTTCTTGCCCGCGAGTTTTTTCAGCCGTTCCTCTTCAGCGTTCGTGTTTTGTTTCCGAGGAAAAATTGCGTCTCGGTTATGTTTCCGTTCCGCATCGCGCACGGTCCGCCGTGCCGGTGATTCACGCACAAGTGCGGCAATTACGTCGGTGAGGAAGAGGTGTTTTAAATCACAGATGTTAACCAGTTCGTGCATATATATATATAGTTTATCGTGCTGTACTCTAATTGTGGTCGGGAGCCGGTCTTGTTCGATACCATTGGACAGGGTCCTAACAACTTTGAGACCGAGAACCTTTTGAAGTCGGATCAACGGCGAGCGATCAGGATGTTTAGGCGAATCGTGGCCCGTCGAGGTCCCAGCGATTGTGAGAAGATTAAAGCGATTAGCAGAGCAACGAGCGTTCGTTTGCGCAAGCTTCGCCAATTCAAAGTGTTGAGACCGCTGCGAAGGGGCGTGTCCTAGAGGGGGATAATTGTATTACATCCAGCTGGATGTAGCCGATGTTGCCATATACGGCTGTTCCAATCAACTTTGTACTTGAACCTGTTTGTGATTCGATGTCGGTCTTTCTTTGTGGAACAACCTGTACTTAACGATAGGTTAACAACCAGGTGCTGCCACCTGGTGTGCATACCGAAACCGGCCTCTCGGCCGAACAAATCGCCGCGTCGAGCAACTTTCGAACGCACCGTTAAGTTAGGGATTTGTTATATCGTATAATTGTTGAGTTTACCATGCACGTGTCACGGCTAAATCACTGAACGAAGATGCAGCGAAGGCGACGCTAATTTACGTGATTGTTAATTGAAAAAAAAAACAAAAATAAAATAAAACGAACTGACCGTTTGGTTCATTGGTCACGGTACTCGCTGCATTTGATGGATAATTGAAGCTCGTCGGAGAAAGCTAAACAATTGCAATTTATATAAATATATAAATATATATATATATGTATCGTTAATCCGTAGCCACCTCGATATTTCTGTGTGAATGAGAGTTGTATGCGTTTGCGCGCGCGCGCGTGTCTACCAGAGAGAAAGAGAGATAGAGTGAGTTTGTATGAGAGAGAGAGAGAGAGAGAGAGAGAGAGAGAGAGAGAAAATGCTCAAGTATCTCTTTGCCTATACTCGAATGTGAGAGATAAAAGAAAGAAAGCTCCTAGACTCATCGCGGTACCTCGACATTACTCGAGCTTTGTTCTTTGTAATTATTAAGCGTTTCCGGCGCGACGACTGTGCGTCGCGAATTATATGGTGCTGCGAACTTTCTAATTTGTTTTATAGTTACGAACCCCGGCAGCATTGCGGAGAAAACGTGTTCTGAGTGTGATGAATATTAGGAAAACTTTTACGGAGGATGCGGATAGGTTGGATCACAGTATTTCGGTTTAAGTATGTCTGTAGTCAATAAAGTGACATTAAAGTGGCCCCCACGGATTCTCTTTACCAGAAACTCTCCAAATCATGCGTGACACGATGCAACAAATATCTGAACATTGTTCTGTAAATCTGTTTCATACATTGTCGTAAGTATATCTCCGTCGCGAGATTCGATGCATTTCAAAACACGAGATAACGCGCCCGTGCTTCTTAGATATCTACAGGGTGTCCCGAAAAAATGTGTCGCAATCCGGAAATGGGAGGTTCCTGAGGTCATTTGAAGCAACTTTTTCCTTTGCGAAAATTTTCTCCGAAGCACCATTAACGAGTTATTAACGAAAAACAGTGACCAATGAGAGGCGACCGAACCAGTGAGCGGAACTGGGCTTCGTGCGCTGGTTGGCTGGGCCGCCTCGCGTCAGCCGTACTCGATTCTTATTGGTTACTGTTCTTTGTTAATAACTCGTTAACGGTGCCTCGGAGAAAGTTTTTGTAAAGGAAGAAGTTGCTTCAAATGATCCAAGGAACCCACCATTTCCGGATTGAGAGACATTTTTGGGACTCCCTGTATAAGGATTCTAGGGTAAGAGCTGAGAAGCAAATCATGGTCCTCAGCAGAAGGCTTCGCCTTCTCTACTCAATGGCCAGATTTTTCAAGAATAAAATCCCAATTCTATGGCAAGGCGGCGCACAATAATGGTCTGAGAAGGCCAAAAATGGCTAAAATCCTAGGAAAGCTTTATTTTGGAGAAAATCTCGACAGAAGGTGTTCGTAANGCCTCTCGGCCGAACAAATCGCCGCGTCGAGCAACTTTCGAACGCACCGTTAAGTTAGGGATTTGTTATATCGTATAATTGTTGAGTTTACCATGCACGTGTCACGGCTAAATCACTGAACGAAGATGCAGCGAAGGCGACGCTAATTTACGTGATTGTTAATTGAAAAAAAAAACAAAAATAAAATAAAACGAACTGACCGTTTGGTTCATTGGTCACGGTACTCGCTGCATTTGATGGATAATTGAAGCTCGTCGGAGAAAGCTAAACAATTGCAATTTATATAAATATATAAATATATATATATATGTATCGTTAATCCGTAGCCACCTCGATATTTCTGTGTGAATGAGAGTTGTATGCGTTTGCGCGCGCGCGCGTGTCTACCAGAGAGAAAGAGAGATAGAGTGAGTTTGTATGAGAGAGAGAGAGAGAGAGAGAGAGAGAGAGAGAGAGAAAATGCTCAAGTATCTCTTTGCCTATACTCGAATGTGAGAGATAAAAGAAAGAAAGCTCCTAGACTCATCGCGGTACCTCGACATTACTCGAGCTTTGTTCTTTGTAATTATTAAGCGTTTCCGGCGCGACGACTGTGCGTCGCGAATTATATGGTGCTGCGAACTTTCTAATTTGTTTTATAGTTACGAACCCCGGCAGCATTGCGGAGAAAACGTGTTCTGAGTGTGATGAATATTAGGAAAACTTTTACGGAGGATGCGGATAGGTTGGATCACAGTATTTCGGTTTAAGTATGTCTGTAGTCAATAAAGTGACATTAAAGTGGCCCCCACGGATTCTCTTTACCAGAAACTCTCCAAATCATGCGTGACACGATGCAACAAATATCTGAACATTGTTCTGTAAATCTGTTTCATACATTGTCGTAAGTATATCTCCGTCGCGAGATTCGATGCATTTCAAAACACGAGATAACGCGCCCGTGCTTCTTAGATATCTACAGGGTGTCCCGAAAAAATGTGTCGCAATCCGGAAATGGGAGGTTCCTGAGGTCATTTGAAGCAACTTTTTCCTTTGCGAAAATTTTCTCCGAAGCACCATTAACGAGTTATTAACGAAAAACAGTGACCAATGAGAGGCGACCGAACCAGTGAGCGGAACTGGGCTTCGTGCGCTGGTTGGCTGGGCCGCCTCGCGTCAGCCGTACTCGATTCTTATTGGTTACTGTTCTTTGTTAATAACTCGTTAACGGTGCCTCGGAGAAAGTTTTTGTAAAGGAAGAAGTTGCTTCAAATGATCCAAGGAACCCACCATTTCCGGATTGAGAGACATTTTTGGGACTCCCTGTATAAGGATTCTAGGGTAAGAGCTGAGAAGCAAATCATGGTCCTCAGCAGAAGGCTTCGCCTTCTCTACTCAATGGCCAGATTTTTCAAGAATAAAATCCCAATTCTATGGCAAGGCGGCGCACAATAATGGTCTGAGAAGGCCAAAAATGGCTAAAATCCTAGGAAAGCTTTATTTTGGAGAAAATCTCGACAGAAGGTGTTCGTAACATTTTTGGTCACGAAGAATAATAACTAAATTAAATAAGTAAAAAATAAATAATAAATATTACACATATAAATTCAATATAAAACAAATTGAAAATAAAATATAATTAAATTGAGATTAAAATTAATATAAAATATAATCATTTCTTTCAATAAAAAATAACTATTTAATTTTAAAAAATAGTAATTTCATGTAACTTAAAATTAAATGGAATAAAATGTATACGCTTATGTACAAGACTTAATGAAAGTTTCTTATTTACAGGTTACGTTTATTTACAGTTTAGTTAAGAGTTTATTGTTTACAGGAACACAGTATATACTTATATAAATTAATATAACCTATAATAAATTAACCATTTGATTGCTGAGGAGCGCTATAGCATTCTTCTTTTGTTCTACTAAATTGCGGGGAACGCGATAGCCTTACGACGCAGTTGGACCTTGCACTTATTGTTAACTTAGATACACACAAACATGTTTTTTCCACTCGCACGTTGACGCACATTGGCGCAAGAAAGATATTGCCTTTCAAACTTAATTGACGTTGCTCTTGAAACGAGAAAATGAAGAATATTTATTTTTCGCGTTTTTTCCGAGTCTTCGGGCTCGAACTAAACCAGAAAAAAATTGTTCTTTGCACCATTGCAGGCGCATACGGTTTCTTCAAGCATGTGCTTGAATTCATTCTGAAAACTCGGTATGCTTAGCATGATTGAATTTAAAATATTCTATGACCAAAGGGAATTTGGTTTCCGAACTTTTTCGCCCTTGAAATGTTTTCATCGACTCTCCTACTAAAAACTATAATTAAATTTTTATCTCAGACCACTGTGCCGCGTTGTGTCGCTTGCCTTCCTCAGATACGCATTATCACAATAAACAACCTGAGACCCCCGATAACCGGAAGACCCAACACTATGTATCAAAGACCCTACATCTCGGTCATCCTTTCCGAACTCTCTCTTCCTAAAAACGCATTACCACTAACACGGCATTGCAGTCTAATTTTACCTAACGTGCATATCTCCGGACAACTTACCTAGGTATTAGTTTAATAAAAGTGATGTACACGAAGAAAAGAGTTTCAGGATTATAAAGTGGAAAAGGAATGGTGGAAATCTTACCGCTCGGCAACTAGAGGGTTAGAGGATTTCCGGTTTCTTGTTTTGCGAAAAAACTGCTGTTCATTGAATTCATTCATCATGCCTTCATTGCTGCAGGTACTTTTTGATCGGTCAAAGCTAACGAGCTGCATGTTAACACTTATCTGGAACAATTGAGCCCGATAAATACAATAAAGTTTCACAGAACTCGAACACTATGCAACAACCAGCTCATCGTATCGCAGCATTCAAAATGCGACACCGGTAGTTTTGCGTTTAGCTGTGAACATCTTGGCAGCGCCACCGTCGACTTTCCTACGCGGTAAAGTTTGTAATCTTGTTAAAAGTTACGGATAGGTTGCATAAAATATAAATTAAAGTAACTAGAATCGTCGATCGATCGTTAACGATAATTATTTGTTACCGTATTATTGATTTAAGGTGTTCATTAATTAGGTACTTTTGAACTTGTCCCGCCACTCAGATCACTAGAAACTCGGACCGTTCCGATAGTTCCTTCTGTTCCAAACGTTCCTTGTTCGTTGTTTACGTGACGTGGTATACGACTGGTTGGTGCCGGTTTCGTTCAAGGGAAAACGTAAACGTAGTCCGAAGCCCTTTTCTTTAGTTGGTCTCGTAATCTCTAGGAGAATATGGTAATGGCCTCGTGGCAGTCTTTGTTCGAAGATGTTAGAAGGATGAATAAGCGTCAGGTAAAGTAATTTTTCAAGTAACTTTCAAGTAATTTCCAAGCATTGTAAGTCTTCGGTGAGCAGGCACATATGGTCGTTTCGTTAGAATGGAGTATGACCACGATTTTCGTATTTTTATTTATAGTTTCTGTATCAAGTGCTGAGTTTCGCCATGATCGTTTCCTCTGCATTGATGATGTGGAAAGGATTGATGGTCGTTACAGGAACCGAAAGCCCGATCGTGGTCGTTCTCAGGTATTTCAATATATAACCTATTTCATAAACGCATCTTACGCGCGAATAATTTTAAGTAACAAAAACGAACGTTTTCACTTTTCATTTCGTCGAATTTGAATGGGCCTATTTACTATGTTTGTTTTATCGCTATTGGTCTGCGGGTATTATGCATTTATTTTTGTATGTCCTTGGTACAATTGTTTCTACTTTAATTACAATTATTCTGTGAATTTTATGCTCTTATTTCTGTATGTTTTGAGTATAATTGTTGCTACGTGTTCAAATGCTACTGCATTGATTTCGATTTTACAATTTGACACTTTTCATCTATTACAATTAAGTTGTCTCGTGGAGTTTGGTCTTTGGGAAAGGCTTCTATCTGCTTAAGTTCTTCTATCTGCTTAAGTTTTTGTATCTATCCAAATTCTCCTCGATATTCAATATATAAATTAACAACACCGATGCATTACCCTCACGCATTTTGTACCTAAATATGTTATAGCGGTAGCATGGAGCCAGCATTTCACAGGGGGGATTTGTTATTTTTAACCAATTACAATGACGAACCAGTCAGAGTAGGAGAAATCGTTGTCTTTAAAGTTGAGGGTAGGGATATTCCAATTGTACACAGAATACTTAAACTACACGAAAAGTAAGTATCGCCTAGTCGCTAAGGATGGGTAAGGCTAGATGTAAGCCAAATAATCATTGATCGAGAATTCATGAATTTTAGGGGTGACCAAAACAATACTATTAAATTTCTGACAAAAGGTGATAATAACTCTGTCGACGACAGAGGTTTATACGCGGCTGGTCAGCTGTGGCTGACCAACAAAGATGTTGTTGGTAAAGCAAAAGGTTTCTTGCCGTACGTAGGGATGGTTACTATATACATGAATGAGTATCCCAAGTTTAAGTGTGCAGTGTTAGCATTTTTAGGGATCTATATTTTGGCACACAGGGAGTAAGCACGCGTCTGTTAGAAAATTTTGTGAAATAGACTGCCGTTGAACATCTATCGAAGAGAAGTGCATTGTAAAATAAAATGCTAATTAATTGGTTATTCAAATACACACACATATGCGGAGCTATGTACAATGTGCTGTTATGTCTTGTTGATTTCATACCATTCAAGGAACCTTCTGTGCGCGACAAAGTTAGTATTTTAAAGCAGTTTTGCACAAGTGTCTACGTAACCACGATACCGAGAAATAATGTGTGCCCGTAAAGCTCCAGTACTTTTATATTGCGTTGAGTGAAAGTCCCGCGCCGCCGTTGGCAAACGTTCAATGTACAAAACACTTTATTTATAGATAATAACTATTGTTGTTTTGCCAAACTTCATTAACACGTTTAATAGTACAATGCGGAGATATTTTAGATTTGCGGATACTTTTGTCAGATCCGACAGCGATGCTTACAGAGCCAATTCCTTGTTACACTTACTACAATGCATTCTTTCCAGCGAATCGTCATGGTCACACGGTTTTGTTAATGAACAAATTCTAATATTCGAGTTTTATTCCTAAAACGATATGAAATTATCGCAAGTGACTTCTAAATAAATTTTCTAACAAATCATGATAAAGAACGATGAAATCTTTCATCCGTTATCGCACGTATCAGATTGATTTCTGTCGCGATCGCTGGTTAATGATTTCTGTCGGGCGCAATAATGATGAAACATCTCTCGATTGGCATCGTTCACTTAATTTAAAAACACTCGCTGTAATAGTGGTCGTAGTTCGGTTACTCCGAAGGGCACTGAATATTTGACAAAAGATCTACGCTCTGTATTTAACGTGAGAAATAAAAGACACGGGAAATTTGGGAAGATCAGAAATAAAATGTATATGCAACTGCGTCGGCACTTACGTCGATACGACCCATATCCCGAGAACTCGCGATCTTATATTATCGTCCTGAAGATTGTACTCGATATTTTAGCAGGAAAGTAAGTTGACGTAGAACAATCTTGATTCGATGAAGAAATATATCGTTAAATATCGAGTACGAATGTTTAACTTTAGGGATAAGAAATTACATACTTCTCTCGAACAAGACCGCATTTAACAGGAATACCGTCGCGGTTGCACGCCAGTTTTTACTTTTTACTGCACATAAGAGTAAGAGGCATCTTCCCTCTCTTCTCCGTCATAGTAATATCTGTACATAATATTTTTTATTTCACAGTCACTGAATATTTTAATAAGAGTAACCTTTCTTAGAGCGCAAGTGTGCATTTTACAATGAATGCTGGCACGTAGAGAAACCTGTCTATGTTAAGTACGTTTAGTCCGATGCGATGTATTTTCTGTCTCTGACTGTCTCGAATTATACAAATAAATCTATAGCATACCAGCGCGTGTCGCTTTCATTTCATCCTGACGTAACGTAGAATCGACAAGCAGATAAACCCAATCGATTACTCGATGATGGTACATGTTACACATATATATATATACATAATTTAGCTCTTTCAAGATAGACTATCTTCATTAGCAGCGTAATGTTAAACGTATACTTGTTTATTTATGAGAACTATCCTCACGATACCTCCAAAAAAGCAAGATACAGCTCAAGTCTATCGCTTACATGCCCAATTATAGTAAGTCATTTTGTAATTGCAGATTTAGCTATCGTTCGACCGCGATTAGCGATCGTTTGACATTGCGTTCATGGTTACGTGAAATGTTACTTTCCACGTCCAACACGAACCACCACCATTCAGCTGAGATTGACATCTGCACGATATTATCTACTAATAATTAATCCTGTCCCAAAGTTCCAGCGGTCGATATCTTTAACATCGTGGCTCCACACTAATCCACGTTTCCTTGGGAGTGATTATCAATCCGGGCAGTTTATCGTCCAGTCCCGTAGGTTCGCCCTCGATGAATCCAAAATTGAAGTTCTGCATCAGCGCAGCGAACACCGCGAATATATTGTACCTCGCGAAAGTCTCCCCGGCGCACACGCGATGCCCTAGAACCAAAGTCGTTTGTGAACCGATACCGCTGACAATCGCCTAATTTTGTATACGTACCGAAGCCGAAGGGGAAAGACAAGTCCTTGGTCAGTTCGCCATCTTCCTTGAGGAATCGTTCCGGCCGGAAGTTCTCCGGATCGCCCCACATGTCAGGATCCTTGTTCATGCCTGACAAGTTTGTGATCACCAAGGTGTTCATCGGGACCTTGTAGCCGCAGAGGGTGGTGTTCCTCAGGGTCTTGTGGAACACGCCGAAAGGCGTCAGCGTCTCGAACCTCATGCTTTCTCTTATGGTCGCTTCGGTGTACGGCAGGCTGTAGCAAAGAGAATCGTAAAATATAAAATAATAATAATAATAATATTATGGCAATATTTTTTTATATATAATAAATTATTATATAATTATATTATTATTATAATTATCTATATAATATTTTTTTTATATATTAAATATTATATATTATAATATTATTTATATAATAAATAATATATAAAATATACAAAAATATTTCTTGATGTCGAGGACGTTACCTCTTCCTGTCCTCCCAAGTGACGATCCTGCCGGTCCCAACCACGCTGTCTATCTCCTCCTGCACCTTCCTCGCAGCTTCCGGATGGTGCATCATGTTCTTTATGAGTTGCGTTATAGTGCTGGGCATCGCTGACAACGCCGGGAACATGAAGTCCACCAGGGTCATGAGCAATTGTTTCTCCGAAAAGCTGGACAGACCAGTCTGCTGCTCTTGCATCTCCGTTAGATATCTGTCTACCATCCCCATGTCGCTGCCATTCGAGTGCAGTACCTTCTGCTTGTCCAAGTATTCCTGCGGCAATCGTAGCGTTATTAGAACTGCGTTAGCTATTGGGTGTAAGAAAGTCGGGACAGTACCCTGGCGTTGAGAGAAAGAGGGAGAGAGAGAGAGAGAGAGAGAGAGAGAGAGAGACCTTAGAGCAGAGTTCCCTTTCGTACACCGAGCACAATAGTAGACGTACCTTCACGAAATCCACCATGCCGTAATGGCCCTTTATGGCCTCGGCGAACCCGAACATGTTTCCAAAGTGCTTCAAGAATTTCCTCTGGAAAATTGCCCCGCCGGTGGTGTCCGCCGCTCTTTGGAACATCATGGCGCTCTTGCAGAGGCGTATCGTTTGATGATGTTCCGAACGATCGAACCTCTCGCCGAACATGATGTTCCAAATGCTGTTCGCGGAGTACGGGTACAGGACGTCGTTAAAACAAGCGGCACCATTCTTCAGGAACGTCTAAAAGACATTTCGTTAATCCTTCTCTGATAAGTAATGGCTGTTTCCTAGCTCGTCGCACCTTTTCCTGGTCGTTGATGGGTCCGTTCCTCAGCATGTCGATCAGCTGAATGACCTCGTCCAGCATGTCTGCCTCGTACTTGTCCTGCCGTCTGCCGAATCCGAAGTCCCTCATGTTCCTAAGGGCGAATCGTCTTTGATATTGCCAGAACAGGCCCTCGGTGAAGAAGATGCCGAAGGTCCCGCCGAAGGCTCTGACCTTCAGGATGTCGATCTCGGTCGGTCTGCCGTCGAAGGCGTCGTTCGTGTATACTTCTTTGATGCTGTCGTAGTCGTTCGCCACGATGGTGCAGTACGGGCCCATGTAGCATGTCACGACTTTTGATTTCAATTTCTTCACGTAATATCGCAGCGCGTTAAAAGGGTACTTGTAGTCGCCCAGAAGCAGGAAGCAGTAGGAGCCGAAGAACGGCACTCGCGGCAGACCTGTTGGTAAACGATTCCGGTAGAATTTCAACCCTTTTTNTATATATTAAATATTATATATTATAATATTATTTATATAATAAATAATATATAAAATATACAAAAATATTTCTTGATGTCGAGGACGTTACCTCTTCCTGTCCTCCCAAGTGACGATCCTGCCGGTCCCAACCACGCTGTCTATCTCCTCCTGCACCTTCCTCGCAGCTTCCGGATGGTGCATCATGTTCTTTATGAGTTGCGTTATAGTGCTGGGCATCGCTGACAACGCCGGGAACATGAAGTCCACCAGGGTCATGAGCAATTGTTTCTCCGAAAAGCTGGACAGACCAGTCTGCTGCTCTTGCATCTCCGTTAGATATCTGTCTACCATCCCCATGTCGCTGCCATTCGAGTGCAGTACCTTCTGCTTGTCCAAGTATTCCTGCGGCAATCGTAGCGTTATTAGAACTGCGTTAGCTATTGGGTGTAAGAAAGTCGGGACAGTACCCTGGCGTTGAGAGAAAGAGGGAGAGAGAGAGAGAGAGAGAGAGAGAGAGAGACCTTAGAGCAGAGTTCCCTTTCGTACACCGAGCACAATAGTAGACGTACCTTCACGAAATCCACCATGCCGTAATGGCCCTTTATGGCCTCGGCGAACCCGAACATGTTTCCAAAGTGCTTCAAGAATTTCCTCTGGAAAATTGCCCCGCCGGTGGTGTCCGCCGCTCTTTGGAACATCATGGCGCTCTTGCAGAGGCGTATCGTTTGATGATGTTCCGAACGATCGAACCTCTCGCCGAACATGATGTTCCAAATGCTGTTCGCGGAGTACGGGTACAGGACGTCGTTAAAACAAGCGGCACCATTCTTCAGGAACGTCTAAAAGACATTTCGTTAATCCTTCTCTGATAAGTAATGGCTGTTTCCTAGCTCGTCGCACCTTTTCCTGGTCGTTGATGGGTCCGTTCCTCAGCATGTCGATCAGCTGAATGACCTCGTCCAGCATGTCTGCCTCGTACTTGTCCTGCCGTCTGCCGAATCCGAAGTCCCTCATGTTCCTAAGGGCGAATCGTCTTTGATATTGCCAGAACAGGCCCTCGGTGAAGAAGATGCCGAAGGTCCCGCCGAAGGCTCTGACCTTCAGGATGTCGATCTCGGTCGGTCTGCCGTCGAAGGCGTCGTTCGTGTATACTTCTTTGATGCTGTCGTAGTCGTTCGCCACGATGGTGCAGTACGGGCCCATGTAGCATGTCACGACTTTTGATTTCAATTTCTTCACGTAATATCGCAGCGCGTTAAAAGGGTACTTGTAGTCGCCCAGAAGCAGGAAGCAGTAGGAGCCGAAGAACGGCACTCGCGGCAGACCTGTTGGTAAACGATTCCGGTAGAATTTCAACCCTTTTTACAGACTCATTGCGAAGCTTAAATCGTTTCCTTCCGTGGAACGGTCACGAGGTAAATTGTTAAACTATGTTGCGCCTTTGTTGTTGAAGTGGTAAAAATGCTAGTGCTGAGAAAGCACTGAAAGCTGGTCGATTCAAAACACTGTGCGAATTAATTTGAATAGTTTCGCGATTTTTAACTGTACTTACATGGCGGGAAATTCGGCGGCACGCAGGTAACAAATTCGTAGAACTTGTAGCCAATAATTAGCAGTATTATGACAATTAATATAGGCGACATTATAAGGCCAGTGCTGGGTCGACAATGATTCCCATCACCACTATGTTTCTCGCAACTTCGCCAAAGAGGGTATCGCGTGAATATTTATGATTGCGATTATTATATTCAGTTGTGTACGTAGATAAGGTCCCACTTTCCCTTTCCGTATCTCCCCGTACAAAGTCGAATGTTGTGCCATTTACGATTAAATAGCCCAAAGTAGTGGGTCGGCCAGTAACAAGGCATAGTATTAATGTTACATCATTGCGCGATAAAAGTAATCGGCGGTTCATACGAGACGTGGGTATTTATTTTATTTTATATACATAATATTTTATACTACACAATGCTATACATTTATTTATTAAATCACAAATAAGATATCTAAGTACTATTCGTTATGGTTTATTGTATCGTACCCGAAGAAACTACAAAAAATAATGTTTTCTTTCCGATTTTAAATAATGTGTCAGTTCGTCGGATCTCATTCTACCAGCCAGATTGGTTCGTTTCATTCGAAATATCTGGTATCGCCGAGACGTATTAGTAGATTATTGTTTATCATCGAACGTATACGATCGTTCTTAATTACTTCGGAGCCTACGTTCGGGGACTGCTTGTATATCAAGCAAATGCAGTCCTCCAAGTTTTGCATGATCTCTTTGTCGAATACCGGGGTCTCTGTTAAATCGTGGTGCAATCTTAAGAATGCACTGTACAGAGGTACACAGTGGGCTGCGACTCGAAAATGGAACGTCATTAGAAACGTTTTGGCGGTCTGAAATCAAATAATTGAATATATTTTTGTACCACCGTGGGCGAACGTAATCATTGCTGTTGCGTGTGTGACAGGTATTTACCTCCAGGGTCGCTTTCAATGTTTGAAGGGTCCTATAATTCCTGCAATAATCGGTCAGTATTCTGGTTAGACTTTCACACCATTTCGCGCAGCCAACGCCGGTCAAAAGTTGAGGTAAGCTCTGCATATAAACGTGTCTGAGCTCCACGTTTTGTTCCCTCTCCAAGTTGCCCAATAGAACAACCAGAATGTCATCCCTCTGCGACCACTGCAATAATACATAGTATTGTAATATGTACATTTAAGTCGATACAATCGTTGGCTACAATTGAGCTTACATCGAAGCTATTGAACGTATCGTCCCAATACTCCATGGTGGCTAGCAAACTAGTTATACAGGAGTATACCAATATCACATATTTGGCCTCGCTCTTATGGGTCAAGCGCTCCAAAGAATAGAACATCACTTTTGCATATCCAGTATCGATTAGTCCCCTTTTCTAGTCGCACAAAAATTCAAGTAATTAATAATGGAACAGGTGAAAGATACAATCTTCAAAGAAATTAATTCTTACTAAATGTGAGTGCTGAATAATCTGGGCTAAACATTCAAGACCTATTACCACATTGTCGGGAATATAGTCATCGACAAGTATTAAAGCTGTTGGAAGAACATCGCCTATGTGAGTGTACAAAGCAGGTTTCTGGGGAAAAAAAACTTTGGTATCAGTATGCAACCGAGCCAGTACGTATCAAATGTTCCTACAAACCTCCGTTTGGTGCAAAATCCACTTGTAGCAAGCCACGGCAGCGGGATAAGCTTTCCAAGTGTCTTTCATCAGTTTAGGTCTTAAGGCTAACAGTATCGTGACAAAATTATCCTGCTCTATCAGAAACTGAGTCAAACTCTGAAATCTGTACAGCTCTAGGAGATTGTGTAACAAGTCCTCCGAGATGGATACAGACTCGGCGGTATTCCAAATATTTTTCTCATGGTGTTCGCCGATGAGCAATAACAAGTTAGTAGTAAAAGTTCTAGTAGTAGATGCGTTTAAGTCTATTTGCACGTTTCTGTGACTACAATTCTGAATGACATGACAGAGCATGGACCTAATGTTCCGCAAATTCCTGTCCACGATCTGCCTGTATTCCCTGTAGTCTTTCTCCTCGCAAGGGCGACTCGCACCGACCGTTTTCTCGGGAACATAAGTTTTCTGGACAAGATTCAGGCAGGCCGACCAGAAGCCCTCCTCGAACGGCGCACCCGTCATTCGCATGGCCTCGAGCTCCTTCAAAAGATCATTCATCTTGCGAACGGTTCGCGAGTGAATCCCAGCTGGAGATAACGATCGCCGCCTTGCGAATCAAATTTCCTGCGACGATCTGCTCGAATCGGGCGTGCACGTCGAAACTGTCATTTTCCGGATCGAAAAGCGAAACCTTGATCGAAACGAGAACGAGCTGCGACGATGGAAATCCGACGGCCGACGACCGATCCTTTTTGTGCGGAACGCTGTCGTAGGAACGTTACGTTACCACTCAACAACGGCCGAATATACCGACTGTTGGAGGAGGCTCGATCATGCGACGATTCGACGCAAAACTCTGATTATGGAAGTGTATCGATTATTTTGCAGCCACCACTACGGTGCCGGAATGCTCCTCCACCCTCCGATAGTCGTGCAAATTCACATGAATCCGATTTTCGGACGATCTTGGAAAAGCCTCGGGATTCGAATCGATACAAACCGTACGAGGTGGAGGTTCCCGAGCGTCTGTCATCATTCTCTATTGGGAACGCGCTGCATTTAACCGAGTATGGTTTCGAGTCTTTGATATGCTGTTTTTCATTTCTATTGGCCGACGAATTTTATGCCCGTCTGCGATTCTTCATCCCTTCTATGGAACGTTGGGACTGCTAAAGTTTTGAAATATTCTGTAGGGAAGCGATATTTGCGGCAGAATATCGTAGGAAACGATGCGACTTTATAGACTACGTAAAAGAGTGGTTATATGAGTTTGGGACGAGTTTTATGAGTTTTTCATGGATTATATGCAGTTTAATCAGCGAAACGTGATTTCCAAGTCACGAAAGCAGTCTAATCTGTTGCATGGATGTGCACTGGACATGTAAGGTTCTGAGGCGTATTCGTAGCGGAACTTTTTCTGAGCAAATGCGGATTGGTTTTTTTTAAGAACTAATATCCTATTATTTACTCAAAGAACGCTTAACTTTTCGTAGGAAATATATTTCGTCGAGAAATTCAGGTTCGAACTTGTGCATACATGTGGATTGGAAGGAGACGAAATTGTGAGGTTATAGTATTACTTGTAAACGCATGCGGACTGGAAATCTCGATTTCCAGCGCTCCTAGAGTTTCCTTTCTTGTGTGTTGTGTGACGCTGGTTAATGCGCCTGTCTTCATCGGCTCTGTTTTCATTCCCGTGTTTCAAAATTGTCGAATTTATCTGTCACTGGCACGATACCAGTGTAAAATTCGCATAAAAGTCGTCCAGAAACGTAGCCATATGGGCGTCGTTCGCTTTCCGCGCAGCGTTGTGTCGCGTTCACATAAACGTTCGTTGTGTTCCGTCTAAATCCCAGAGGCCTGGTAATTATGAATTAATGAACGTGTAGTACCTGGTAGTTACGATATGGCTGAGTACAGTTAGTTCATTTTCTATTTTTTCATATCATTTACGACTTACGACTGTCATTCGTCATATTTTGGACAAGAGAATCGCCGCGAGAGTTGCGCCACCATTTTGCTCACTGTGTAGCTACGACACCGCCCTTTTCGCGATTATTGTAATCGACAGTGTCCTAAATCTGTCTATTTTGATCGTTGAGTGTTTCGAGATCTCATTGAAAGTTTTGGTTGCTCGTTTTCTCTACTTTCTATAAATTTGTCGAGTTTCATACCGTCATAACCATAGCTCGTGATATCTCTGGAATATTTTTGTTGGCATTGTTTTGTTTGGTGTGTCAAGTGTTCGCGATGACATATGATCTAGAAAGGGCAATGATCTAGTTTTGGGGGGAGGGACAGGGGTTCTCAAACGCGACCTGTATCGGAGGCTTGATTTTGGAGTAGGATGGCGCATTATGGCGGACGACTGCGATGAGCACCGTTGACAGATCACGATGAAGGGGACTGTTGTTCTAGGATTCTGAGAAAATATTTTTCTCCTGTTGAAAGGAGCCGGTTCATCGGGTGTGTCGTCCGGCGTAGGCAGTGATTCGGAAGTCATGGCTGAATTAGCAGCCTTCCTGGGCCAGGAGATCCCCGAGGGGAGAAGTAATCTGGCCGACAATCACATTAATTTGGAGAGGGTGGCGGATTACTGCGAGGCGAACTATTTCCAAGCGGAGAATAAAAGGAAAGCGTTGGAAGAAACGAAAAATTTCACGACACAGTCACTGGCCAGCGTTGCGTACCAAATAAACACTCTTGCTTATAATTTCTTGCAACTGTTGGACCTGCAATCGTCACAATTGGACGAGATGGAGAGCCAGATGAACCACATTGCTCAAACAGTGATGATACACAAAGAGAAGGTGGCCAGAAGGGAGATAGGTGTGCTCACTGCGAACAAAATTACAGTACGTCAGTATAAAATTATTGCACCGGTGATTCCCGAGAAACCGATTAAATATGTAAGGAAAAGTATCGACTACAATATCTTGGATGACATCGGGCACGGGGTACGTAGCAGTGGTACCCCAAGGAGCAAGCAAAGAGGTGGAAGTCAGGGGAGCGTTCAGAGCCTGGGTGCCGCATCTACTGGTTCTGGGCTAGGCGCTGCCATGGTGGGTCCAGCACCTACCACGAAGCCCCCTACTCCCCCTCAGACAGTAAGAACCGGTGGGTATGAAATGACAAATGCGCGTGTATTGTTCGAATGCTATCAGATATTAACAGAGCTTATTTCATTTGCGCAGGAACCTTGAGCAAAGGATCGCGAGAGTACAGGACACCACCTGCGGTGGCTCCACCTCAAGTTCCTAGTCACTATGCTCCCAATTACCCCCTGGGCCACCCCCGACGGGAGCGTGGTCCCGGTTATAGTACCCTACCTTTGCACGCCCACACCACCTCGCACGCTGCTCACAATGCTAATCACAATACCATAAACACTAACACCATAACCCAGCACACCTCTCCACCCCAGGTGGGCACAGTTCATCCCCTGCAGAGTCACCCTCAGACTCCACCGCCCGCGCCATCCAGCGTAACTGCAGGATACGTACAAGAAGCGCATAACAGCATGCCTCGTAAGTAGCCAGGTGAAACAGCAAGACCGAGAACATGTTGCTAAATGTTCGCATGCGTTTCCAGCACCGCCATCACCCCTGGTCGGCATCACCGGCGACATGGCGGATTACAGCGGTCACCATACTCTGCCGCACAGACTGTCCCATCAAATCAGTCGGGGCAGCGGTGCGAGCAGCCCGCCGTTGCCGCCTCCGCCGCCGCCTGAACAGGAAGAACATCCGCAATTTGGCAGACCCATGCAGTCCAGCGGCGCCATTATGCCCATTGTGCCCGACGAGGAGGACCTACCGGGATGGGTGCCCAAGAACTACATCGAGAAAGGTATGTGAGACGCTTCGCGGCTCATTGTTGATGGTTCATGGTTCCAGGAATGAAAAATTGTGCTTTTAGTGGTCGCAATTTACGATTATTATGCCGACAAGGAAGACGAGTTGAGCTTCCAGGAGAGCTCTGTAATTTATGTATTGAAGAAGAACGACGACGGTTGGTGGGAGGGTGTGATGGACGGCATAACCGGCCTGTTCCCCGGCAATTACGTAGAACCCTGCGTCTAAGCGTTCGAGCATATCAAAAAACGGTAGATTACGATGAAAGACTGGAATCTGAACGGTTCTTGGTGTGTCCTCTGGTCTCGACGTCGCGATTCAGCGCTGTAAAACAGGTGTAGCATCTAAGATCGACTTTTAGCATGGTAACCGACACGACGATATCGTTATTCCTAAGGGTCTCGGCTAGCACGCGAGTTTTCTAAAACGGGGAAAAATCAAACTAACCTCTGTATCGTATAGGAGAAAGTGTATTTTTCGGTAAATAGTATTCCCCTTGGTGAACATTATTTTATCTTGGTCCCGGCGAGGATCGTATTTATATACCTACGGACGACAACGATATGTAATTGTCGCTCCGCGCATCATACGATACACCAGCACTTAGCTGTATTTATATACGTACTAGCGTAATCGAGGCGGCGGCAGCGTGTTAGGAGGCTGTCGCGTAATCAAAACATACCAAACGTCCTGCCGGCGGAGAATCACTTGGCGCCTTTCGACAGCACAGCGTTAGCTCTGTTATCCACTTCAGTATTTCGTTTCCTCGTGAATAAAGGTGCGAAAGTAATCCTTGCCGTGGCGAAACTTCTCCAGTCCCGTTAAGTCGCGCCCGTGCCGCCGTAACATGTACCGTTTATGGCGCAACGATTTCGTTTAATCAGCGTGCGCGAGCGAGCTCTCGCATAATAATCGCACATTGTGCGGTGCTAATTAAGTCATTAGCGCGCTGTTGAAACAGTTCCGAGTGTCGTGTAATTGGCAAGGTAACGAGCCGGTCGCGGCCTCCCTCGTTTTCCTCGTTGATGTACTTTAAATTTCCCTTCATACGCTTCGAGATGCTTGCATAGACAATAAGGGGGCTCGTTTTCCACGAGGATTATGCATCTCGCAATTACTGCCGCAGCAGGATTTACCGCGGATAAAAGACCGCGGACTTCTCGGGGCAGCCAGGCAGGCGAACGAATATTTCTTTCAGGTCGACGGCAGAGTTTTGCCCTTCATTCATGGCTGCCATTCAGTGGCAACTGGGCGAACTGGTGTACCATTGTATTTATAATCAAATAAAAAGACACTTGTAATACACACCGGAATTATTTTCCTGCGACCAGCGCGCGCGCGTGACCTGTGCGGGCCGCGTGCCCGTCCCGGAAATAACCGAATCACGCGAAGTGCTCGCGATTCCCTTCGGAATTGAAACCGGGATCGGGACGAAACGAAGTTTCAACGACCACAGTCACGGAACGTGCTCGCGTGCGAAGCGTTCCCGAAGACATTCGCGTTCCGTGCACCGATTTGCCTATTCACGGGGAAGTACGCGTCTTCGGTGTGTCCCCCGTCTGTCGTCTGAATGGGCTCGCGCACGGTTTAATGACGGCACGGAATTCTTTTTGCGTTCACCGTTCCGCTCGGTCGGCTTGAAATTATATCCCAGACGTAGAGACCGCGGCGAATTTTTCCGCTCGTAAACGAATATAAGAAGCGCAGCGCGGGGACCGGTTTTCTCGCTCGGCGAACGTCGTTCTCCCTTTTAAGGCGGTAATGACACCCTCGGGGATCCAGTTTTGTACAGTTACCGCGTACGCAGATTTTCTCGGTCGCGAAAGATTCGTCCGGAGAGAAAAATAGAGAGAGAGAGAGAGACTGCTACGCGAAAGCCCAGCGTGTCTGGGATCCTCGCAAATTTTCTCATTTCCGAACGTAGAAACGGAGGAAGAGATGAAAACGGGGCACCGTTTTCAGAGCGTTGCCTCGTTTATCACGTGCGAAAATAAGACAGCTCTAAAAGCACCGAAGGAACGTTATTTTTTATTATCGTTCATTCCCGTGAGATACATCTACTCCCCCCCCCCCCCGGATTCCATTCGGGGAACTGCGACGCGTTAACAAGCGAGATCGCGATTACATTCGGCATTCTATTTCGGCGAACGCGGATTCGTTCGGTGTTTTTTCCCGGTGCCCGAGGTTCGCCCGTAAATTTCCGCGGCGATATCGAACACACAGACGGCTATAATATCGGCTCCGGTGTAATATTCATGGGAGCCCGGATGTAAATCGCCCGAGAACCCTGATGACGCGAGCATTTCGCGCGGTGCGGCGCGGCGCGGCGCGGCCGACCGGCGAGAATTTACCTTAATAAATTCCGAGGAAAACCGCGGACGATTGTGCCTGTCTGATAAGCGAAAAGCGTAGAATTTATTCGATATCGAGGAAGCGCGCGACGCTTTATCAGGCTTCCTCGCCGACTGGATAAATCTAAGGAGACGGAGCCGGCGCACGTACAGCCCCGGCTATCTGATCTAATTCTCCAGATTGATTATCCCCGGGGTACAGGCAGCCGGCTCCCGGAGCCGTCCTCGCCCCGGCTTGTAACAGAAACCGCTTCATTTGATTAATACCGTCTTTCCGGGTGTAGCCGCGACCAACTTCTCGGCCTCGGTATCCCTTTCGATCCTCGCCCGGTCTGTCATCTCGCTCGTCCCGCCATCGAATCATGAAATATTCCTACCAGCCAAGCCGTGTCTTTAACCGGCTCGGCGACGCTCGAATTCACCGCCCTTTCGACGTCCTTTGTACCAGCGAATAATAGTATCCCTCTATTCTTCCTTCGCTGCCTCTGCGTCCCGGCTGCGATAGGCGCCGATCTAATCGATAGGCGCTTGTTAATTCGCCTCGCGGAAAGCTGCTCGGA